CAGGAAAGCAGTTAAGGAACAAAGCTTTAGCTTATGTATTATATTATATATGCTTACTGTGGATTTAAAACATTTAGATAGTTTTGATATTATTGAACTATATACTTGAAGCTCAGAAAACCTCATATGTGGTATTCTGTAATAACTTGTTTATTATAATACTGCTAAAGAATTTGTCTTTTCCCTCCAAGACCCAGTTATAAAAGGGCTATGGCTTGAATTCATCATTCTTAGACCCTTTAATAATTGCAGATGAAATTTATTGCGCACATACTGTGTTGGGAGGTCCTATGCTAAGTAAGTGTTCTATGTGAATAAACATTTGATTAGGATTAGAAATGGGAAATAGCTGAATGCTTGTTAAGACAGTTTTCCCAACCCATTTAGCGTAGAAATGTCTTCAAGTAAAAAATATTTGGTGGTCAAGTTTATAGATCATTATGAGAGGTACTGTTGTTTAAATTAACATGTAATTTAGTCCTTCCCGCTATCCTTCTTAACATAAATTGTTAACCCCAAATTTATTTGAAGAAAATAATATTTTTCTATTATCAGATTGACTTTCATCAAGTTTTTTTTTAATTGGTTTTTATGGGGCTGAGTGCGGTCACTCATGCCTGTAACCCAGCACTCTGGGAGACTTGAGGCAAGTGGTTTGCCTGGGCTCACCATTGGAGACTACTCTTAGGCAGAGCAAGACCTGGTCTCTAAAAATAGCTGAGCGTTGTGGTGGGTGCCTGTAGTCCCAGATACTTGGAAGGCTGAGGCGAGAGAATCACTTAAGAATTTCTCTGTGAGCTGTGACGCCCTGGCACTCTATGGAGGGCAACAAAATGAGACTCTGTCTCAAAAAAAATAAAAATAAATAAAATAAAATAGGTATTTTTTTTTAATCAATGCTTTATTATTGACTTAACAGGAAAGTGTCACTTTGATAATTTATGGCCAAAGAAACAATTCTTGAATATAACACTAATATTCATTCATTCATCTATTCATTTATCTAGTAAATATATATTAATATTTACTCCTGACTACGTGCCAAATACTAGTAATAACAACTACAACAAAAAATGAATAAAGCATGGTATATGCCGTTGCTCAACCTTACAATAATGCTTGTTACTGATACTCTTGACCTTGATGCATGAAACCATTTAATCTGAGAAATCTCAGAATGGTGTACTAAAGTGTATGTATCTAATGAAATCAAGACTTGAAGTTGCTGCGTCCAATTAAAGATATACTCTGTGTCAAAACCGATTCACATTTAACCACCCCATCCACAAGTTGCAAGGATTAGAGTTCTACTCATCTGTGAGTGACTATGGGGAGTTTGCTGAAACCCAGTCCCCCCATTAGTACGGGATTTCATTTTGCCCTGTGGTTCTGCTCTGTGGGCTGCTAAGGTTATGAAATGCATGGGGTAGTGGGCAGCTTCCCCAGAGGCCTTTTTAGGGTACAGGGCAGGTACCTCATCTTGCCTGTCCACCTTCAGATTTCTTTCATTACGCTCTAATTTTTCTGCAAGTATCCTAAATTTAGAGCCTTAGAACTTAACTACCTGGGGTGTTAGTGATAGCTTACTATCTGTTCATATTCCAAAAAATTTCATCCCCTCTGGTTGTTTTCCTCACTGATTCCACCAGAGTAATGATTGTAAAACACGCATTGGATTTCAAATTCCTCTACTTAAAATCTGATCCAGTCGTGTCTCCCACTGTCTGCAGCAGAAAGTCAGAGCTACTTAGCCTGGTGTGAGTTTCTTTAGGAGCTGGCTCTTACCTATACTTTTGCTCTGTCCTTTCAAATTCAGTCTTAACAATTTGAAGTGGCCAGAATGTACCATGTGTTCTTTTTTTTTTTTTTTGGCTCTATGATTACCACACACTAGTTCACTACCCAGAATGTTCTTTCTTTCTTGTCTACTTGGAAAATGTTACTCATCCTTTTAAAACTCAGTGCAGATTGTCTGTGATTCTTGGATGCCTCCTGTGACCTCTCCAGTCAGGCACATGTTTTCTTTTTGTTCTCATATGTTAATGGTTGAGGCACAGTCTCATCATTTCTTTACTTGATTGTCTCCCGAACTACGTTCCTGGAGCATAGGAACAAATTAGTTAAGTGTCAGACTTTTCCACACCTAGCACAGTACATGTTCCTAAATAGACATTTTAAAAGTGAAAGCCTTTGATATTCCTTCCTATTAGTCTCATTATCTATGAGAATATGGCATCTTTTTATTTTTAACATTCATTCTGCAGAACTGAGGGCATCTTTTTATGGCTGTAGAAGCAGCAGTGGATGTAGACAAGATGAATTGTTAACATCTTGCCTTTGTGTTAACACAGTTGAGTGTGTAGAACTTGGGGGAAATTGTAGTATAAGCAACAAGCCATGAGAGCATGTCTCTGCTTTGCTTGGTAGATGTTAAGAAGTAGCTTGTTCAACTTGTTGGCAGGTAGTTAATGATAGTGCAGTCTTTAGTGGGTAAACATCTCCACATATCAGGAGCAAGTCATTTCCTCAGTTCCTACATTATAGTCATTTCTTATTCCTCTGGAAAGAGACGTTTTTTGCTTCCTAGTAGTGGAATTGATTTTCCCAAGTATAGTTTTCAAAATAATAATAAGTTATATCCTGCCATTAAACTTAATTTTTAATAAAAAGATAAAGTCTACATTTAGCATATAGACAGTACAGATTTATCTAATGGTAGTTAGTTATGTAACTATACTTAGTTAAGACTGAGTATTTTATTATTTAAAATTATTTTCTAATTCTTTAATATTTGATATGAAGCTTTGTTGCATTTAATACAAGCAACATACCTTTCTGACTCTGTTGTGTTTCTACTTATTTCTTTGATGAGTAGTGGTCAATTTAGTAATGTGGGCAGTCAGAACAGTGAAAGTTCATTTACGCTTTATGATGCTTTCTTCTGGAGGTTGGTTGTCTTAGTATTTTATTATTGGTCTTACCTGGAGAATCTGGCTTTTTAGGCTTTCTGCTGATAGCACATGGCTTATACCTTTTTTCCCTACTGGCAGTAGACATACCACAATAAAGTCATTTTTAAGGTTATCACTGATATTTTGAAAAATCTTAAGTTGAAGATTTTAACTTGAGGCTGGAATATTTTACTGTGTTTGAAGGTGAAAAAGGAAAACCTCACTTCGCCTACCACTTGTTGATGCCGCCTCTTTCCTGGTTACTTCTTTGGTTTCCTTTGATAGATTGTGGTTTGTTTAATATGATCTTGCTCTACTTTTTCACAAATCTTTTCTAAGGGTTTTGATCACTTTGGCATGGTTATTTTTATCTTAGGAACCCCAGGGAGAGTCTATTGATGTAATTATGTGGTAATTTTAGTACCATCTTATGTTGAGGGACAGTATATTCATCTCTGTGGTGACTTATTATGAAAATACCCAGTGGTGTTAAAGTCTGGGACGTTAGCTTGAGGCAGCAGCTGAGATGGCTTGTGTGTGGTGTACATTCTGCAGAATGAGTTAATGTAATGTGTCTCTGTACTGATTAATTTTCAGTAGTCATTGTCTTGATTTTTTAAAACTTTCTTAAATTTTTAAAATTTTCTTAAATAACAAGCCAGCTCTCTACCCTCATAGTGCCACTTATCCCTTGGTGACTCAGTGGACCTTGACTCTTAGCCCTGCCATAATCTAACCCTGACTACTAAGCCTGGGCAGACATTGTCTAGTGCTGGTCAAGGGGGTGAAGTAAGTGAAAAAGCACAAAAGATGCAGTATCAGTAGATCAGCCCCCTGTGTTGGAGAAATTAGAGATACAATGTAGATTTACTTGTGGATTAGCAGGGTTAAAAAAGAAAGTGATTAGCAAGAGCTGGTCCTTGAAAGTTCACATATCAAAACCTTTTGCCAAACTCTGACATTTTAGCTCACCCTATTTTATAAAAAGTATGTGTGGGGGGATAGCAGGAGGATTATACATTTGTTGCAACCATTCCTATATTAGGACAGGCCAGTAGGCCTTGCCGGATATATTTTAACTATTCAGGCCAGTGAAAGATAACTTTAAGGTTTTTGTTTTTAACTGGATGCCTAAAAGTAATGGGAATTCCACGTTTCCTCAGATTTTTATAGAATATCACCAGACAGTGAGCTGCAGAGAAGTATATGTGAGAGTGTATTACCCTGAAGAACTTTGTGATCATAAGCCTCTGTGCTTTGGTTCTGGTTACAGGCAAATTCAAATTTGTTTTACTCTCTAGCCATCATTCAAAGGGCTGATCATTTTTAAATTTTACTGAATGGATGTTTACTATTGGTTAGAGTAGATTTGTTTTCCACACATCAGCCATAACACTAATGAAACAGAACAAATAAGCTTTGAAACATTTTATTCTGAAACTTTTCAAAAAGAATATTAAGAATAGGTTAGCATTAGCTAAATGTATTGACTAGTTTTTGTTTAAACAATTAGAATTTCATATAAACTAAGAATATAATATTTATTCTAAATCTTGTTTATCTGCTGGTAATATCTTGACAGAAGTATAACATTTGGTAACATGGTGTACAACTTTATTTTTTAAAAAACTTTAAAATGAGTAATATTCTGAAGATCACAGTATCTGAATACTTTGTGAAGATTAAACCAAAGTGCTATAGAAATCATTCTATCAAGCTTTCTTATATATGAGGTTTTAAATACCTCATGACTCTCTTAGGGTGACATTTTTTTCCATAATGAACCAGTATTTTAATATTTTCTTTTCCCTTTTTAATTTTGTATCTTGTTTAGTGTTTATTGCCTGTATCATTTTTTGTTTGCATTATCACTCTTATGTGTCTCATGAATTTGCTTGAATATTGTAATTCATTTTTTTGATTAAAAATCCACACTCCATATTAAAACATAATAAGTACCAACACAGCCTTATTGGAACTTAATTTATATTAATTATGGGTAGCATTTCTAAAATAGATTATTGCTAATGTTGTTTTTAATTTTAACAGCCTCAAGTACTACAGCCTTCCAGCAGCCTTCCCAGACCCACAGACTATGCCCAGGGAAAACTAATAAAGCCGCAACCTATCGAGGCCCACAGTGAATGCACAACCCAGGGCGTGCGTCAGGGCATTGCACTTCTGGACGAAAGCTTTACACATGGCTTGCAAGAAGAAAGCAACTATGGTTTGGAAGACCAGCCATTTTCGTTAAGCTCAAAATTCACTATGGATGTGGCTAAGTGTACATCTTCTGAAGGAAACTTGAACATGACTGTGGGTGCTCAAGAGCCTTATCATTTGGCAAATAATCAAATAAATGACATGCAGTTTGTACCTACTTCCCTTCAGACACCTTCCCAGTCAGGTACAGTGGACCAGGTTAAGAGAGTTGGAAGAAATCAGTCTCTGCCAGTGGGCTATCCGTCTCAGTCCAAGTCCTTGCAGCTTTTAAAACCATCCATCTTGAATTCTTTGGTACCTCCTCCAGTTTCTGAATCATCTCCAAGTAGGACTCCCACTTGTAAGAAGTCACCGGTAGTCACAACATGTAATTCGACAAAACTTCAGCCAACATCTAGTCAAACAAATCTTGCAAATAATCCGAATCTGAAAGCATCAAAGCTCCGTCCTCCTTCAGGCTCTTTCAAACAAAAACAAATAAGCAGCTCCCAACTCGAGCCCCAAAGCTTCCAGGCCAAGACAAGTATCCCAAGGCCACTAACACAACGAAAAGAAATCATGCAGAGTTCAAATGGCAGTTTGCATTCTGGGGACTGTTTGGCCTCTAATCGATATTCTCGTCTTCCTAAACCAAAGATACATTAAGTATGTAGCCATCACCTGCCAATTGGTTTTTAAAAAACTATTCTGTAATAGCTTTATGTGCAGTTTGCTACAAAGGTGGAGGTTCCATGAAAAGCCTGCAAATCTTAAAATTAAAATGTGGAAGCTTCTACTAGTTTGGCTCTTCCATTTTATATCCTGGTTGAAGTACATGCCATTTGAACATACTTGTCTCAGGTAAACACAAAAGTTTGCTGACCTATTAAAGAGGCCTGCCACAGGCTCTAATCATGTCATCACATTAGATGTGCACATTAGCAAATGCATAATATTCTACTTAGCGGGCAAGAAATGTGCTTTGCTGGTTTAGTCCTGTTAAGGTCTGTGTTTATTGTGGTTGTTAGAACCTCACCTCTTTTCACTGTCCCTCCTGTGAATATGGCTACTATTTTAAATATGCAGTGATAATGGAAGATGATGGTCTGGTAAGCAGAGTTCTGGCTAGTGTTTGTGTATTTAAAAAGGTCTATGCAAAAGCTTTGTGATGAATAAAGGAGATTAGGCTTTTAATGGAAGGTCTATGTAAGTTTTATTTTTTCTTGCTAGGATGAGTAAGCTACTGTCACTATTCATTTCTCAGAAAGTTCTCCAAGCTAAAAATGTTTCTTACTATATATAAACCAATTATATGTTGCTTTAACATCTTGTTTTACACACACAAAAACCCAGTTCATTTGTGTTTGTATTTGTTACTGGGTAAATTTTGGAAAGCTTGAGATACATCTTGAAGCCTGTATCTAAAGATGTATCCACTTGTAACATATACTGGTGCTTGAGTTTTGCTGGTAATTCAGTTTTGAACTCTGTAGGTATGTGGGTCCATTATAGTCATTTAAGGTTCCATGGCATTTATTTTATATTGTCTTTAATCATAATATTTATATTTATTGACTTTCTGCTAATATCAGAAGATGAATAATAGACTTGAAACATTTGCACAAAACTTTCATGGGATATAAACATCCTATATCTAGGAATTTAAAACTATTTTCTATAGCAAAACAAGTTAAAATATTTTGAGAAAAATTAAGAATTTAAGATTATCTTAAAAGCTGGAATTCATAATAGTTTTTTTTTTTTTTTTTAAATTCTGAGTGTCCTAGGTTTCCCATTTCTGTTGATATATATTTGAATGACAATTTCTTGAGAAAGTAGATTTTGGAAGGAAAAGAGAATCAAAGATGGGAAATTATGTTTTATGAAAAGGTACTGAAAGGCAATATACCTATTTATTTTAATGTGCTATAGAAGGTAGCTGTGGAACCTCCAAGCAACCATGTGCACGAACTTGATCATGCTTTGGGGCCATGTGTCAGATGGTTCAGTAAATTTGCTTTCCTTTTCTCTCAAATCATGTCATCTTTAGGCTGTGAAGATGTAGCTGCTTTAATTGAATGAGTATCATTCAGAAAGATGACCTTGTAAGATCAATGTTTATTTTAAGCAGCTAACCAAAAATATATCAAAAGGGATTATGGCCAAAAATTCACTCAAATTTCTAATGATTCCTTAAAAAAGAAACAACAGTAAATCCTTAAGTTTCAAAAGTGTTTGCTGCCATTTTGATGTGGTCTTCCCTTACCTGTCAAGAGAACCATTCAAGTGAATTTGCTGTTCAATGGATACAAACCATTCTTGAATTTGATAACAGACGAGCAACACAAATCTAGCATTACACTCTGATGAGCCAGCACTTCCTCCGGCGTAGCAGGGAACTTTAGAAAGTTCTTCACATAGTCCAGATGCCGTTTGTGTAGTCATCAGACACATTAGCAATCGCTTCTTTCCTCGTGCAGATGAGCCATCATGGCTGCAGCTACAAGTGGGTACGTGTGGTCTTTCATGTTGAAGGAGGAAAAACCCTGACCTCATATATTGCAAATTGGGTGTTATCATATTTCCCTAAAGTAAAACATAATAATGACTTAAGAGGTTTTTGGTTTATTTAGAAGCTGATATATACACACTTAGGAAACATTATTTATAAGTTGGCCTTATTCTTAAGGGAAAAGTTAAAAGTTTTTAATTTATTTTTATGTTCCTAGTCTGAGGGAAATGTCTTTATTTAGTACATAAAAATGTTGGCTCCAGTAATTTGTTTATTTTACCTGCTGTATTTGTTTTCTCCCTGATGAAATGTTAACCTGTTAGTTCAATTTCTCTGTACCTTGTTGTGTCTTAATCTTGGCAGAAGGTTGGCTCATCAATATAATTACGAAGCATAATCTTTTTAAGAGAAAAAAATCTAGGATGCTTGCCTACAGTTTTCTTTAAAAACTGCGAGAATATCATGCTTGTCTGCTCCTTAGTAAATGTTAAGTCAGCATTGGATGCAAAGACGTAGCTCTATTGAATAATCAGAGATCAACTTTTCACAGTTGGCTTGATCTCTGTTTATTGCTTCTGTAAATCAGCTCTGTGCCAAGTCTTCCTCCACAGGGATTCAGACCAGTTATTCTCTTAGTTCCTGTGAAATCAGTGAAGGCAGTTGCAGGATGTAAATTCTAAGTCCTGAGAAAGAGGTTTTATGGGATTGGTTAAGTTTCACATTTGTGAAAGAAGAAATTAGAGTATGCAGAATTAGGTATTTGACTATTAATGGGATGCATATCAAATTTTTTTTAAAAAGCCTAACCTATGGTGTTTATCGGTACTGGTGCAGATGGTTTAGAGGCATTAAAGGATTATAGGGTTATGTCACTTAGAATGTTTCTCATAACTGAGACCATCTACCATTTTTCTTTTAGAGTCTCATTTTCATTTGTGCAATATTTTCAGGCATATAGGCTACTGTTCATTCTATTTATATAGATATTAGGGAACTAAGTATTTTAACAAGTAAAAATCTGAATATGAAAGAATATCAGATTTGCACTTTAAATGAGCTTAATTGCTTGGAGTTGTGCCTGAAATATCAACATGCCACCTATTAGGTGTGGCTTTGTTTGTTGAAACGAATTACTCTATAATTGTTGCTGTTTGAAAATATCAGTACAGCCTTTCACAGAATTATATTCCCAGCATGTCACTTTTCCCATTAAAGCACTAAGTTTTCTTTGAATGTTCCATTGTCTTCTTAAATATTTTATTCATTTTTCTCAATGCATCAAAGAGAACGTGATCCCCTGTAGCTGTCAATTCCAATTGTTCCTGTAGAGTAGATGGTGTTACAGACACAGAGGTACACACTTGAGTTTCTGAGCAGAGTTTTCATACTGGCTTCCTGGTCTCTAGGGCACTGGAGATGTCCTTTAGAATCACAAACAGGCTTCAAATGAAGATCAGTATGACTGCAGCACCATTTCAGTTTACTCTCCATCTTACAAAGTAGTTTTCGTGTTGCTAAACAAGTTGGGGTGGTTATGTTTGCATGTTTATGCAATAATTTGAAAATTAATTTTAGCTGTAATACAAATACCTGATGTTTTTCCTTGGGGATGATGGCCTTGCTATTTTTCTTAATTCTAATGCTTGAATTCTATTTTCTAATGATTTTTCCACATCTCCCTTTAAGTTTCCTGCTGCAGCAATTTGAAAGAATACTTTTGCATACATGATTTGTGATGGTGCCCATCTACAACTATGTCATTCATTGAAGATATGTTTTAATCTTGTTGGAGAAAAGCTACCCACTTTCTCCTTGATAAAGCATTTCCCTATCAAAATAATACTGACCTTAAGAATTTAAAGTCTCTAAGTCATTACTAATAATGAAGAAAAATAATATCTGCAGTATTGTTTTCCCATTGTTTTTAAAAACCAGTTCAGAGTACATACTGTATATTAGAATTTGCCTGTAAAATGAATTATAAAAACCAGATGTAAAGTCTCTCCTGAAAATGTTGGCATAGTAAACAAAAATAAAGTTCATAATTATAAAAGTTATCTTGTCTTCCTCAAAACTGACTTCTGTAGTTTACTTTTCCTCTCGAATCTGACTTTTGTCCTCCAAGATAAGATACTGTTTATTTGCTTGATTTGTTTCAAACTCTGGTTTTTACTTTATATGCTTCCTTCTACACACACATCACACCTCAATCCTGGATTGAGTAGGCATTGAGCAATGTCTTATTGTGTCTTTTTACAGATCCTATAAGTCATCCAGTATTTTAATATCTGCTTTATTCTAGAAAAATATCGATATATTGAATATTTGAATAAACATTAAACCTTGGGTTAGAATGCTGCACAGAGGGGGAAAATGCTATTGTGATTTTAATAATAATTTTATTGTTTGTAAATATTTCATGCACAAAATAGTTTGAAGCAAGAAAAGTGTTTAATAAAACTTTACATAATTTTTCGGGACAAGAGGAATAAAGAATTGCTAATTTTTAGTTTTCAATTTAATCATGTGAAATACATGTTATATAATAAGATATTTAAAAGGTTTTGCAGAGATATATGTTATTAATCCAAAATGTCTACATATCTTCTGGAAAAAGAGAGAGGAAAATTTTATTAGTAATAAATTAGATGGCATGTACTACCATTAAGATACCTGTAAAGGCCATCTAAGGATATTAGCATGTTCTTTCCTGCACCGAGTCAAAATTTCCCCTTTTTATTTGTCAAATGTGGTCATTTCAGTTTCTTCATTTATTCTATTGATTCCACATTTTCCATTCTTTCCCTTACAGAAAAGACAGTTAAGTGTGAATTGGGTAATTGGGTGCTTCTTCAGTTAATTTGGTTTAAGTAAATTTGGTGTGGTCTGACATGCGTCAGGAGCTGGGCTGGCTGCCTGCTGCACAGAGGGGAAGATGATATAGTTGCTGCTTCATGGAGCGTAGGAAACACAGTCATTTTTAAAATCACCTCCTCCACTTCAGGACTGAGCCCTTCACTTCCCTTTCCTGTTCATCATCTTCCTTTGAACATGATGGTAAAACTCCCTTTGGCTGGCGTTTCCCCTCCAGTTTTATTTCATTCTTGACCTTGTACCTGCCTTGCATTGTTCCCATCTTTATAATGTTCTCATCTGTATAATTTTGTTTTTAATATCACTAGAATTTTTCTTCTTCTTCTTCTTCTTTTTTTCCAGACAAATGTAACTCTGTTGCCCAGGCTAGAGTGCCCTGGCATCAGCTTAGCTCATAGCAACCTCAGGTACTT